GCCACTGCTGAAACTGACCAGCGCTGACTACAGTAAGCCCGAGGCAGAGTTGCTCTGCCCCCGGCTTCCTGGAATCAGCCGCTGATCAGTTTCAGCAGCAGCTGACTTGGGGATGCCTGGGGTTCTTAAGTTGAATCTGTATGTAAGTCAGAACTGGCATCCAGATTCAGCCACTGTTGAAACTGATTAGTTTCAGCAGCGGCTGAATCTGGACGCCAGTTCCGACTTACATACAGATTCAACTTAAGAACAAACCTACAGTCCCTATCTTGTATGTAACCGGGGGACTGCCTGTACTAACTATGGTAGGGCCTTTACAAAGCCTATGTGCTACGTACTTCAGCTATCACATGTCCCCGAGATGGTAACTGGCAAACCCAGAATGTTGGTGCTCTAGGGAAGGGTAAACTTAAGTTACTGGAGAGGCTGGGGAATCCAGCACTAGTCTTGAGGCTTAAGCAGTTGAACTGTGGGGACTTTGCTCAGTCTCAGGAAACCTATGTGCTTGGTGAATATCAACCAAGTGTCAGGGATACAGGTAACTCTGCATGAACAGAGGGGGGTAGAGACAGATTAATTTGATTTTCAGATGAGTTTGCACAAATAGTAAGACACTTTTATACTTATAAATTGAGCAAGTCAGATTCATACACATTGATGCGTATGTGAATAAGACTGCCTTTTCAGCCGTGGATATTGCTTTGCGTTCCATGAGACGAAGTGTCAATGAGCACAAATGGAGTGCACATACCCATCATTTAGCGTTAACCACATCGCACAAGAAAACTCAGGGTTATACTGCTGGCTCTTTCATTCTTTTATACCTTGTGATTTGGACAACCTCATAAAGCTGTTCACTATAGAATACTCTGTTTTGTGCCAAGATGTCAAAGCACTGTTCTATTTGTAACAATTTAAATGTTCTTTTCAAATTAAAAAAATGTAATTGGTACCAGAATCTTTGGGACTTAAAAGCTAGTCATTTTAAGACAAACAAAAAAAACCCAGTTTCTCTTTTACCGTATGTGCAAGTGATGGCTTAGCCTGGGGAGGAGAAACAATGAACACTGAAAGAAGCTCATAACCTATTTCATGCAATTATTTTAACTGCTTAGGTAGCATGAAGATCCCCATTCACTATACTGGCTGCGAGAGGTGTTCTCAAAAGCTAAAGAAATAACTGTTTTTTTCCAACTTACCCCAGAACAGTTAAACTAAAAATATTTTTGTTTTTTCCCACTAATATGAAAACAAATATTCTGAGGCTGAATGAAACGTTTTTCCCAACTTAAAAAGAAGATTCCGTTTTTAATTTCATATGAGGTAATTTTCATTTTTTTAAAAATTACCTGCTTTAACCAACCATTTTAGCAAGTCTAAAACCATTTTGACTTTTTTTAAAAGTCACTTTTTTCAGCTAAATCTATTTGATAAATTCACAACTATGGTACTTTTAAAAATTTATTTTTCAGCAAATGTATTATCCCTTCCCCCATCCTCAGATTCTAATTGTCAATAATTGTAGCATAAACACACTGCCCTGAACTTAGATCTCTGCAGAGAAATTACCTTGTTATTTAAAAGGCTTCTATTCATGTTATTTAAAAAGATTTTTTGTAGGGGGTAGCAAATGATACATTTACAAGGATTTTTAACAGAGAGTAGAGGAGGGACAAAATGTATGGAAACATATATAAACATACCTGTTTGAAATCTTGGAAACATGTACGACAGAAATATAGTTTAGGTGGCCTAGCTGAAGTACACTGAATACTTAAAATTTAGGATGGTCAATCTGAAAGTCAACAACATTTAATGACAACTTATTCTTCAGATTGTAGCCTGAGAGAGAGACACTCCTAGGAATTTGCCCCCAGAGAACAAGACTAAGGGGAAAGTGTAGTGCCCATGTTAAATTCTTACACAACTATTTCTTTGCAAGAGGTTCTGACGGGGTGGGTGCCTGGGGCAGTCCTTAATGGAAATGCTAAGGTCAGGGCAGACTGTAAAAGCAACAGTCTTGGGAGCAACAACGAAGAACCTTCTCAACCGGTCAAGTGCTTCTGACCTCAAGTGCAGGTTATCAAGAAGTCAAAGAAGAAATCACATAGACCCTTTTATTCCATTTCAGTTCTCTGACTCTGAATCAGTGGCTAGGTACAGTACAGCAATTGCTCACAAAATGTTCTTCTGACCCCAAAGGGTCAGCCATATTACTTGGTTCCGATCTTACCCAAAATACCATGCTGCCAGCCAATCCTTTGGCTTCTAAAACTAAAGGTTATAATAAAGAAACAAAAAACCAAGAGATGTTAAATGGTAAAACAGTCACATACATATAATAACTTCAAAGTCCATCAGTTTCCTAGCAGTAGTGGTGAATTTGCTGGCCTGAAAGTCCCTTTTGAACACATCCATAGCTCGGGTGGGTCCTTTGTTCAGCACTTCGTTCATAGAAATCAGACTGGAAGGGTTGGAAGAGACCTCCAGACATCGAGTCCAACCCCAACTAAATCATCCCAGTCAGGGCTCTGTCAAGCTAGGACTTAAAAACCTCTAGGGATGGAGATAGCATCCTAGGTAGCCCAATCCAGTGCTTCTCAAACCTCCAAGTGAAAAAAAAGTTCAATCCAGAGGTGGGAAACCAGAATCAAAAGTAGAAAGGATCCTCCAAAGGTAGGAAACTAGAATGAAGAGAAAATGGAAAAGGTTCAGTGGCCTTTTATATTCATTTTGCTGTGTGGCCTCTATTTCCTTTTACCGAACAAGATGACCAGCTCATAGCCTTGAACACCTACAGTTCTATCCATAGGCATGTCCCTTGCTGAGTCATAAGGCATATCCCCTGCCTTCTCCCAATGGGTCAATTGAATAGCAGATGGTCTCCTACAGGCTATCAAGCAGGCTAGGATAGACATTCCATCACCAAAATATTTGTGGATGTTACCTAGAAGCATAACACAAGTTTGTAATACAGATATACATACATATTCATAATCCAAGATACAAGGGCAACACAAACATATAACTGAGATTATCATCTTTGATAGATTATAACAATTTTGCAGATCTCATACATGGCAGATCTTGCATAAAATAACTCACTGCAACTTTACAATCTTAATATTCATACTATCCTAAAGCATCCCCCAAATTCCACACAGCATCACAGAGGTCTAGGAACTCTGCACACTGGTGCAAGAATGCAAAAATGTGGTGGGGAGGAGCATGTCAGGATGTATATTTTCATGTCCTGTGAAAATCTGCCCAAATCTGGCCAAATTAGAAAGCCCTTCAAAGAATTCAGCTCACACATGGTCAGTAGCGGCCTGTTGACATCACTTAAAAACCAACTCCTAAACTATCTGCTTAAAAAGTGTGAGCTAAGCAAACTTTCCCTGAAATTCCTATCACAACTAGGATGGTGTGGTGCCAAGCAAGTGAGGGTAGGTAGACTCTCTCTCCTGTACTTTGTGCTTCCTGGTGAGGGTGGCAAGGAGACATGGGAATGGTGAAAGAGGACAGAGGTAAGTGATAAGAATTGTAAAGTTGGCTAGGAAGTGGGGAAAGGAAAAAAAAAAGCAGGAAGAACTCTTGGTGGCATCTTCTTCTTTCTCTCTGGAGAAGTGGCCTCCAGATGATTCTCTGTCTCTGTGTTGTGACATTCTCTGTAGGCTCTCTCTGGGTTTGCAAGTGTCTTCCATTCCTTCAGATCACTTGTCCCTCCTATATAGTCACCTTGTGAGACCTGGATGCCACTACACCCATCAAGACTGCCTTAGTTCACTGTTTTTTTTCCCCCAATGATCGGATCCTCACAGGAATTCCTGTCTGCACAGTTAGTAGGTCTTGGGTGACCTGTTGTACTTTAGTGCCTGCTTCCTCTGATAGAGAACAATCTCCTCTTAGTTTTATCAACACCCTTCTGGATGTAACAGGCCTCCTCCTTCATAGCAGGGCTTGGGGGAGAGAGGCTGTCCCAGCATTGGACTTTTTGGGAACTTGCGAAGGGGTATTCCTGTGTGCCAAAGATACTTACAAGGGATCTGAATCAGAAGCTGCAGCCTTGTGCAACACGCTCACTAGTGAGAGGCCATATGGTGGTCAAACTTATTTTCATGCAAATTCCTTGAACTCTACCAAGGCAAATTGGAGC